ACCATCTCAATAATAATAAAATAAAAAAAATTGTGTTTTTTTTCTTTTTAGTGATTTTTTTTTCCTTTTTTTTTTTTGTGTTCCGCGAAAAAAAAAAGATAAAAGCAAAAAAAAAAAAACCCTTTTTTTTCTTTTTTTCCCTTTTTTTGTTTTTTTTTTAAAAAAAAAAAAAAAAAAAAAAAAAAAAAAAAAAACAGTGACAACGACTCTAACACGAAGTAAGTGTTCTTTCTGACCGGACTCGACCCTCTTTCACTCACATATATAAAAGTTACCGAAAATTTTCTTTAAGGTACTTGGGCCACAGAAATTCTAAATGGGAAAAGATTGGCTGCAACAAAACATTATTTCAACGGGCATCTTTGATCTCTTGGCGATGTGATTTTGTAACTAAGCAACATAACATTTCTTCGGGATAATGCGGCAATAAGCTTTATTTCGGCTAAGTATCGCACAACACTGAAAGTTATTAAACTTTTCCTCCGTTGCTACGGAACTCATTTCGTTTTCCAGCAATAACTCACTGACTGAAGACTTAACGTCCCCATTCTGTTTTTTCGAGTTTTTGATTTTGATGAAAGTGCCGAACGATGGCTAAAATTCTCTGGAAAAAGCCTACAACTAAAAACTAAATTAAGAGAACAATGAAGTTGGATAACCCGAGTGTTAGGAAACTCGCGAGTTTTTCTCGTCTGATCATGAAAATCCGCGTTTTGTAATAATTCCTGACGAAATCTCTGCACATGATTAAAAACAAGTTTGGAATAAATTCAAAAGATCAAAATTGACTTGCTTTTCATTTTAGAACGCTGACAGAGTTAAATATTTAGGCTGCAAAGTCAATAAAGTCTTCCTTAATACGGCAACGGCTTTCAACAAAAAAAGAACAGGAAATATGAAGCAATCAATTCTCTGTTATTACATTGTAATTAATTTTTATTCGACAGTTGGTCTCATTATTTAAGACGCAAACAGGTTAGTTAAGACTGAGAAATTGCTCAAGGCCGCTTATGATCAAGAGAGCAATT